CCCCCTGCCTGAAATCCCCCCTCAGCTACTCTGGGCACCTCCTCTCCCTCTCTTCCCTCAGCCCTCAGCTCATGCATCTCCTTGTCCAGGAAGCCTGCTCTGACCAGTCTCTTCTCCCCATTAGTACCACACCCCTCACCCACGGTGCATGCCCAAGCTCCGATTTTACTACTGACCTTTGTGTCATCTGTGTTTAACCTTTGCATCCTCCCTTACACTGTCAATTCCATGGGGGCAGAGGCCACATCTGGCCTATCTGCCTCTGTCTTCTTTGCTCATATATTTATTGAACACTTGCCACATGCCAGGCACTGTTCTAGACACAGAGAAGACAGCAGAGAACAGACAGAAATACAATGACACAAAACTAAGGGAAGTAGAATGGAAAACTGGGGCCACTGGAACCACAGGGGTTGAGAATATTAAAGCCCTCCTATGGGCCCGCAGGATGGAGCCCATGCCCCTCCCTGAGGCCAGACAAGCTCTGCAAAGCTTTGGAACCAGAGCAGAAATGGATCCAGGCCAGTCTGGCAGGGGAGGGATAGGAACCAGGTCACCAAGGATCTCAGACCCCATGGCCCAAAGGTCATAGACTGGGGCTGTGGGAAGAGGCAACATGGAATTAGGGTTGGTGATGTGGGGTGAACAGAGATGTGAGGGGGACACATTGTCTTCTCTTAGGGTCAGTGGAATCATGGAACTTTGAAATGGGCAGTGTGTAGGCACATCATAGACAGGAGGACCTCTAACCCAGGGGTTGGAAAACATTTCAAGCAGAATAACTCTTTATTAAATCACATTCCTCTTTCAAACCTCATAAATGACACCAATGAGTGGATCTGCCCATTGAAGCAGATAGGGGCAGTGTCTCCCCTTCAGCTCCCACAATATCTCCTCCCCACAGTGCTACAGTATTTCCAAGGAACCCTGGAGCCCCAAGGAACCCAGTTTGAAAACCACCCATGTAATCCATCCCTTTCATTTTATAGGAAGGAAAGCTGGTCCCGGAGAAGGCAGCGACATGGTAAGCTAGTCCCGGGTCTCCTGCCTCCCAGTCTACAACTTCTCATACGTCTTGGGCACCAGTGATGTGCTGGGCCCCATGCAGAGACACAGTAAGGACCAAGGAAGACATTGCCCCTGCTGTCGTGGATGGGGGTGACAGGCAGGTCACTGGACAATCACCGCACACCATGATGAGTGCAGGGATGACAGAAGCCCAGAGCTGGGGAAACCCTGCTTTACTCATCCACTCTCTCCACACTTCAGAATGCCTCTGACATGCTGTGGGGGGCAGGGGTGGGGCATGTGCTGGCACAGGCAATTGCTGGCTGGTGACTGTGGGATTCCCAGAGACTTACCCCAGTATCCTCCTCCTTGGCGGCAGCCTGCCCTACTGACCTGACAGTTCGAGGGCAAGTCCTGCAGCAGAACATCAGGCTGTGGAGCCCAACCACCACCCTGAAGTGACAATCCAGCACTTCCTTGCACCCTGGCAAGCCACCCACTCCCTCTGAGCCTCAGGTCCTCCTCTGTAAAGCAGGGCTGTGGTGAGGAATCCATAAAGACACCCTCCTGTGGCTGCCACACCCAGGGCCCAGCACCAGTTCAAGGACAAGGCTGTTGCCACATCACACCTGCACCCCCCATCCCCACACCATATCCACCTCACCTCCCAAAAAGAACATCTGGAGCCATAGTTCCTGGTGTTCTTGTTACTAAACACTGCCCAAAGGCATTTCCTGTGGGTTCAGGGGAACATGGCTTTAAAAACTTGAGTATAGGGCCGGCCCGGTGGCGCACTGCGCTAGTGCGCCGCTTGGGAAGCGTGGCTGCGCTCCCACCGAGGGTTCGGATCCCACATACAGACCGGTTCCCGCTCACTGGCTGAGCGAGGTGCGGGGGCAACACCGAGGGTTGCAATCCCGTTGCCGGTCCCGGTCCGGTATGGGGGCGACACTGAGGGTTGCGATCCGTTGCCGGACATGGAAAAAGACAAAAAAAAAAAACTTGAGTATAATGAAAAAGGTGGAGCCAGAGGACCACATGCTCAGTGAACATATCATGAGAAGTCCCTGGTGCTTCCCAGGCCAGACAGACACCACAGACCAAAAAGCAAAGGGGCCTCTAACGTGACCGCAACATTCAGGTCTGGATGCAGATGGACAGGTACCAGGTGGACATCTTTGTCTCCCATGAGCCACTTGACACAAGAGGCAGAAAGAGCAGGGAGGAGCCAGATAGAAGTAGGGCTCCTGAGCTCCCAAGCCACACCAGGTGACCAGTCAGAGGCTGAGCGTGTGTGTGTGCGTGTGTGTTTGTGTGTGTGTGTTCTGCAGCTCAGGTCCTGCAAACATCTCTGCTGAGGACTGACCCTCACTCCTGGCCCAGCCTGAGGCCTCTGCCCAAGGCCCCAGTGGGCAGCCCAGACCCTGAGGCTGGGCTGCCAGATGGTACCTGAATATGGGAGGTAGGTGAGCCAGATGGCCAGGTTGGGCAGTGCCCCTTGTGCCCTTCCTGCCTGCCTAGCCCTGGGTCCCTATGCCACCTTGCTGGGGAAAGACTTTCCACTTACACTTTCTCTGATCCCACTCTGGGTGGGGACACAACTGTGTATCAGACACTTTTCTTTCTCAAAAGGAGGGGAGACAGGTGGGGTGATCAGGGCTATTGTGGGGGCTGTAGGGCCCTGAGGAGTCCAGGCCTAGCCTGGAGAATCAAGGAAGGCTTCTCGCAGGAGGAAACTGCTAAGCTGAGACCAAAGGACAAGTACAAGGTGAACAGTAGGTAATTGAAAAAAAAAAACAAGCATTGTTTGGGACCCACTACTCAGCCAAATGACCTAGAGCAAAACTTTTGATACATTGGGGTTGGGACTTCTCTGTTAAATGGACATAGGTGGTTTAAACATTTAATATATGGCGAATGCTAAGCACCAAGCATAGCACATAGTAGGTTCTTGGCCCATGGACAACACATGCAAAGGCACTGAGTGCTTTGAGCCAGGGGCCTGGAAAAAGCTCATGATGGGAAGATGGGAACTTACATAGACCTCACTGCAGCTCTTACCTGGGCCACTGGAGTAGTGGTATCCCTCCAACTCTGAGAGGCTGTTGCTATCAATACGTCCATTGAGTAGAGGCTGGAAGAGGTGAAGTAACCTGCCATAGTTACTCAGCCAAAAAGTGGCAGGGCCTGGATGGAACCCCAAGTCTCTCTGATGCTTTCTACCTGTCATGAGACACCTGAGTGAGTCCCAGGAAGACAGAGAGTGCCTGTCCTACCTCCACCATGGCAGCTCTGCCTCGAAGACTTCAGTTTCCCTAGAAGCAAAAAAGAGATTAGGACTAAAATCAGTGAGTGAGTTGCCAGCCAGAGAGCCTTGTTCTGGTCTATGCACCGTGTCTGTGCACAGCCCATTGAACTCTCACACCCAGAGAGGACATGGATGCTCAGAGAGGTCAGAGATCTCTGGGAGGTCACACAGCCTGGAAGAGGGCTGCATTATTAGCCCACTTTCCAGATGAGGGTGTGGAAGTGATACAGGAAGCATAAGTACTATCTGACTCCAAAGGCCCCCCAATCCAACCATCTGAAAACACTGCCCGTTGGAGGGCCCTGGAAGGTTCTCTGGCCTTGCTGTCTCCAGAGAGGTAACACAAGGACCAGACTGGGCCCATAGGGGTCTTTGGCTTTACCTTTCAGGGAAGCAGGTAGCTCCAGGCCCTCATGAGCCAGACCAAAGAATGGGCTGGGCCCCCAGGGTGTGTCCGAGGGGCCCAGCAGATCCATTCTCTCACCTCCTTTGCTGCCTCTCCAACTAGTGTCCCCCACTCCAGCTTCTGCTTTACCCGCTCTCCTTCTGCAGCTCTGAAATGTGAGACTTCCCTCTGGGAGAAAGACTGGGGAGGGGTCCTCACAGCTGACCCTGAGGTTGGGGGATGAAGTCACAGAGCACTGATGGACTCTGGAGTCAGAATTTTGCAGGTTTGGAGCCGGCCCGGTGGTGCACTCGGTAGAGTGCGGCGGCGCTCCCATCGAGGGTTTGGATCCCATATAGAGACCGGTCAGCTCACTGGTTGAGCGCGGTGCGGGCGCGACACTGAGGGTTGCAATCCCGTTACCGGTCACGAAAAAAGACAAAAAGGAAAAAAAAAAAGAATTATGCAGGTTTGAATCCCCACTTAGCTACTTCTGGGTTGTCTGACAACAGAAAATTCCTTTTCTCTCCAGGCGTCCTTGAGTGTAAAGATGAACCAAGAAAACAGGTCAAGGCTCTGGTTTTCACAGGGGCCCTTCTCCTCTGTCTCAGTTGGCACCATGCCCAAGCCATGGGGCTTCAGACTTCTCACCTGTAAAATGGGCATGAGAGGTTTAAATAGATAACGCACGTAAGAGGTCCTTGGAGGAGTAGGCACAGTGTGGGTTCAGCTCCCAGATGCTCCCTCCCCTAGTTAGGTGTCCAAGGCTTATCCCCAAATTTAGGCATATGCTGCTGTAGTTCCCAGCCACCTAGGCCAAACACACCACCTGAACCCATGGCAGGGCAAGGCCAGGTCTGCCTGCACTCAACCAGTGGCCTTGACCCACACACCTGGCCTCTTTCTCCAGGCCCAGGAGCAGGGGCCCTGCCTTCCCACGGGGCACCTTGGCCTGGAAGAGATTGCACAGTGCCTAGGAGGATGCCTGGGGTGGGTCACAAGGGACATAGTGCCAGGAGCAGGAAAGGTGTAAGGCCAAAAAGACCCCCAGGCATCCTGGGAGGGACATGTGCTAGTTCGAGCAGGGGTGTCGGGAGCCCAGCCCTGGGAGAGGTGCGCGGGCCGGGCGCCAGAGACAGTGGGTGGGGGGAAACACGTCCAGAAGCGGAAGGGGCTCGCGGAGACCCCCAGGAGGCGCCGGAAGGGGCGCGCGGAGCGGTTGGCCGCGGCCGGGACAGCGGCCGTTGGTGAGCTGCGGCCTGCCAGGCAAGGTCAGGCGTCTGGCCGGCCGCGGCCACAATGACCAAGGATTCGCCCAACCCCTCCGGCGGCGGCCGCGCGTCGCCCAAGAAGCCGGGCAGCCCTGGCCCGGTACTGGCAGTGCTGGAGGAGCAAAGGAGGGAGCTGGAGAAGCTGCGGGCCGAGGTGGAGGCGGAGCGGGCGCGTGAGCGGGCCGAGCGGCGGCGCTTCGCTGCCCAGGCGCGCCAGCTGCGAGAGGCTGCAGAGCGGGAGCGGAAGCAGTTGGCTGACCATCTGCGCTCCAAGTGGGAGGCACAGCACCGCCGGGAGCTGCGGCAGCTGCAGGAAGAGATGCAGCGGGAGCGCGAGGCCGAGATCCGGCAGCTGCTGCGCTGGAAGGAGGCCGAGATGCGGCAGCTGCAGCAGCTGCTGCACCGCGAGCGCGACGGCGTCCTGCGCCAGGCCCGGGAGCTGCAGCGCCAGCTGGCCGAGGAGCTGATGAACCGCGGCTACTGCGGCCACGCGGGGGCGCCCGAGGTCTCCGCGGCGAAGTGCCGCTGTCGCTTGCAGGAAGTGCTGGCGCAGCTGCGCTGGGAGAACGACGGCGAGCAGGCAGCACGCATCCGCCACCTGCAGGCGGCGCTCGACGTGGAGCGCCAGCTATTCCTCAAGTACATCTTGGAGCACTTCCGCTGGCACCCCGCTTTGTCCGGTCCCCCGGGCCCCCAGGCTGTACATTCCTCGAAAGAACCGCTTCCCAAGACCGCGAGCAGTGCTCGCCTCACTCCAAAGCCCGCTTGTCTACTCAGATCCTTCGACAGCCTGAGCTCCAGCATCCGCGTGCGCTCCCTCTCCCTCGACCTGGTCCCCGCGTCGTGCTCAAGCTCTCCAGACGGCCTGCTCCCCACGCGCTCCAGCTCCCTCGATTCCTTGGCACCAGTGCGTTCCCGCTCCGTCGACAGCACTCTGGGTTGCCCAAAGGCCTCCGAATCCGAGGAGCGGGCCTCCTTGCCAGACACCTTCATCCTGGACTCCCTGAGTCCCCCGCCACCACCGCCGCCACCACCGTCATCGGCACGCGGGAAACCTAGCGACCCGCAGGGAGGAGAAGGCTTTGGGAGACAGCCCTGCGAAGCCCTGACCCCCTCGCCGCCGAGCCGGGACTATCACGAGCTGGTGAAGCAGAACTCAGAGCTGGCCGAGGCGTTGCAGGTGTTGGCGCGCCGCTGCTCTGGCCTGCGCGAGGAGAACATGCAGCTACGGTGTGCAGGCTTCCCGGACGAGGCGGACGAGAAGTTGAAGCGGCTCAAGGTGAAGCGCGCGGAGCTGACTGGCCTGGCGCGGCGCCTGGAAGACCGGGCCCGCAAGCTACAGGAGACCAACTTGCGGGCAGTGAGTGCGCCCGTGCCCGGCGAGAGCAGCCCCAGCCTGGAGCTGTGCCAGGCTTTTGCCCGCCAGCGCGCCCAGGACGTGTCAGAGCATGTAAGTGCTCTGCTAGAAAAGGACAAGCAGATAGAAGAGCTACGGCAGGAATGCCACTTCCTGCAGGCACGCGTCGCCTCGGGCCTGAGGAGCGCCCCTCATTCTGGAGGAGGAGCCTCCAGTGCCCAGGGGCTCGACGTCAGCGACTTGGACCGGCTGCAGCGCGAGTCCCAGCGAGAGGTGCTGCGTCTGCAGAGGCAGTTGACTCTGCAGCAGGGCAAGGGCGGCGCTTGGGCCGAGGCGGGCGGCCAGAGCGCACCCTGCGAGGAGGCGCGACGCCAGGTGCTGGCGCTGGAGCTAGAGCTGGGCGCGCGGCGGCGCGAGTGCGAGGAGCTGGGCGCGCAGGCGGCGGCAGCGCGGCGGCGGGGCGATGAGGCAGAGGCGCAGCTGCAGGCAGCGCTGCGCAAGGGCGCCTGGCTGGCGGAGGAGAACGGCCGGCTGAAGGCCCAGGCTGACTGGGTGCGGAAGGTGGCAGCCGAGACCAGAGACGTATGCGAGCAGCTGGGCCGCGCGTGTCAGGAGCGCGACGCCACCGGCTTGCTGGCTGAGCAGCTGCTGCAGCAGGCAACGCGCGGACAAGACAGACAGCAGCAGCTGCAGCATGACCTGCAGAAGGCCCTGTGTGACCTCCAGATTGCCTGGAAGGAGATACAGTCGCTGCAATGTCAGCCTGGCCACCCTTCCGAGCAGCCCCAGGAGGCCGCCCAAGCCGCGGCGTCCCAAGCCAGGGATAGTGGAAGCCCCAAGTTCCAGCCAGGGCCTGAAGACCACGCAGTGTCCCAGCCCAGCAGAGACAAACAGGAGAAAAGGGAAGCCTTCCTGGAGGAGAGACCAGTTGCCTTTGGGGAACCAGCCAGTGCCCTCCAAGTGCCAGACAGAGTCCCAACCAGCTGTCCTCTGGACTCCAGGACCGAAGCCAAGAAAAGCAGCTCCGGGTCGAACTCCTCGTCCGAAGTGGAGTCCTTGTGGGCCACCGTACCTTCCTGCCCTGCTCTGGACATGGACACAGCCAGCGAGGTGGATGATCTGGAGCCAGACAGTGTGTCCCCGGCCCTGGAAGTGGGGGGCTCAGAGGCTCCCGCTGCCCCCAAATGCAAGATCTTCCTGGCTCGGTATAGCTACAACCCATTCGAGGGGCCCAATGAGCACCCCGAGGGCGAGCTTCCCCTAACAGCTGGGGACTATGTATATGTCTTCGGGGACATTGACGAGGATGGCTTCTATGAGGGTAAGCTTGAGGATGGCCGGCAGGGGCTGGTGCCCTCCAACTTGGTAGAGCAGGTTCGAGACAGTGATGTCCTGGGCTGCCAGCCCTTCAAGTCCCCTGACCTTGGCCCCACTCAGCTCCTGGCTGGGCAGGGCAAAGCTTTGAAGAAAGACAGCTTATTACCTGTGGAAGCCCAAGGAGCAGTAGACAGAGGGCTATGCCAGATGGGAAGGTTGAGCTCCAAGGCAGAAGTGGCAATAGATATTTTGGAGACCAGCTGGCTGAGCTCTCCACACGGCTTCTACAGACCCCTTGTAGCGAATAAAGGGGTGCTCTGTGTGGCCCCCATGCAACTACATATGCAGGGCGTCACAGCCACGTCCGCCAAGATCACCTGGGTCTGTAGCAGCAGTAGCTGCCCCCATGTAGTGTACCTCAATGACCAGGAGCATACCCTGACCCCCGCTGGAGTGAGCTGCTACACCTTCCATGGCTTACATCCTGGCACACAATACCAGGCGCGGGTAGAAGTGCAACTGCCGTGGGACTTGCCACAGGTGTGCTGGGAAACGATGTCCTCCACCATCACCTTCGACACACCCTTAGCAGGACCTCCTGACCCTCCACTGGATGTGCTGGTGGAGTGCCACACCTCTCCAGGCCTGCTGGTGGTCAGCTGGCTCCCGGTGACCATTGACTTGGCTGGGTCCTCCAATGGGGTCCAGGTCACTGGCTATGCTGTGTATGCAGACGGGTTCAAGGTTGCAGAGGTTACTGATGCTACCGCTGGTAGCACACTGTTGGAATTTTCCCAGCTGCGGGTGCCCCTAATGTGCCAGAAGGTCTCAGTGAGAACCATGTCACTCTGTGGTGAGTCCCTGGATTCAGTGCCAGCTCAGATCCCTGAGGACTGCTTCACCTGTCAACAATTGCTGGAGACTCCTCCCTTTAGCTACACTTGTGGTGATCTATCCACCCGCAGAGTCACCTTCCCCGTCTGCGCTCAGAAGCTGGCACTTGCTTCTCTGAGTGCCAAGGCCAGCCTCCACAGTCCTGGAAGCTGCAGGGAGCCCCAGGCCAAGTTCCTAGAAGCATTCTATGAAGAATCCACAAGGAGTCGGTCCCCAATGTCCAACCTGAGTTCAAAAGAAGAATGTCCAAATGAAGGAGCTGGCAGCCAAGCCCAGGGGCCCACAGATGCCCAGGAGGGCTGCAGGAAAGACCTGCTCTTTCAAAAGAGTCCCCAGATCTACAGGCCACCTCTGATCAATAGCCAGTATAGGGGCCAAGAAAACCACTACTGGCACATGGGCACCAGCAAAAGCCATGCCCCAGGATTCATCCATCTGTCCCCTGAGTGTGGGACCAGAAAAGAACCATGTCAGGAAAAGGCTGCCCTTGAGAAGGATCTTAAGCAAAAGCAAGATGCCCAAGTGTTCATGCCTCCGCACCTGGGCATCAGCCAACAATACATGTCTGACTTCCATAGCATTCTGGAGGAGGAGGAGGCAGTGTGCTTGCGTCCATGGCACACGGAGATGCGAGAGCAGAGAAAGGAGCTCAGACCCCAGAGTGGGCGAGGACAGGCTCTGGGGGGTAAGAGAGAGTGCCAGCTTTGTGAGCCTACCTCAGCGCTGTGTCCACCTCCATCCAGCAAAGTCATTAAGATGTCCAGGGGTGGCCCCCCACAGCCAGGGTCAGAGGCCAACACTCCAGCCAGGATCTTTGTGGCCCTCTGTGATTATAACCCCCTAGTGATGTCTTCCAACCCTGAGACTGTGGAGGAGGAGCTGGCCTTCCAGAAAGGGCAGTTGCTGAGAGTGTGGGGCTCTCAAGACCCCCACGGCTTCTACCATGGCGAGTGCAATGGGCAACTGGGCAACATCCCTGGGCACCTGGTGGCTGAGATAGAGATGGGCTTGGAGCAGAGTTACAAGAGGTGGCATTTGCCAGTACAAGAGCACCTGCCCTCTGTGCCCCACCTCGAGGACTTTGGGGGGGTCACCAGCCGACGGGACCCCTTCCTCACACCCCAGGGGAACTCCAGGAGATCCCCACTATGGACTCCAAAGACCATGATGGCTGCTCTGGACTATGATCCCAGGGATGGGCAAACAGGGGGCCAGGTGAAGGGCAAGCTGGTGTTGAGGGCGGGGGATGTGGTCACAGTCTATGGGCCCATGGATGACAAAGGATTCTATTATGGAGAATCGGGTGGCCACAGGGGCCTGGTGCCAGCCCACCTGCTAGATCATGTGTCCCTCCATGGAGAGTGAGCAAGGCTCCCTGCCAGGGTAGTGGCCCCTGGCCACCCCCATGCCACTGGAGAAGCAAGCACATTGACCCTCACACTGGCACCCCTCCTTGCCACCGTAAACCACATTTACTCCAAGCCCCACTATGTTAGACTGATGGCAGTCCCCAAACATCCCCTAGCCTCTAAAAGCAGCAGGGCTCAAGTCTGAGCTGAGCTGTTTCCAAAAGAAAACAAATCAAGCCAACCCCTGAGAGTTTGACATGCTGTCTCCAAGCTGTCGATAGGTATTTGGAGAAGTGCCTTTTTCTGTGGCCAATATGTGTTTTCTTTAGGAGTTTAACAGTATTCATCCATTGTCTTGTATGAAAGCCTCAAGAAAAGTCTACATCTTAAAAAAAAAAAGCAATCAGAATGTTATTTTTTCTATCTTATGTTCAACCCCTCATTAAAATGTTCATAGAAGAAAAAAAAAAAGAGAATATTTTAGACGTTAAAGCACAACCAAGAGAAACATGAGCATCCTCTTTGTCCCTCTTACTTCTGTCCAGGGGGTCCTCAAGGGCTGAGGAAGTGTTTTCCTGGCTGGAGAAGGGAGGACACAGCCTTACTCTTCAGGGTGGCCCAGCTCAGGGTCTGCTGCGCTGGGTGCAGAGGGTCCAGCCAAGAGTCAGGGCTAACAAGCAGGGCCCCAGAGTCTCCACCCAGCCACACCTTCCCCAGGGTGTCCCTGTGCTGGGACTGTGTTGTTGGTGAGCCCTTTGTGAAGGTTGGCTGAGGTCAGTGTCTCCCAGCTGGGGTTCTCACTCTAGTAGCTGCCCCCTTTCCCAGAGTGCTTTAGGAGGGATCGCCTTAGGAGGGCATTTCCTTGTTTGCCCCATTTTAGAGAAGAGCCACCTGAGGCTTAGAAGGGCAACAATGTTAAGGTCACATGGCTCAAAGCCACCTCCTCCCATGGTTTTCCAGGGTTTCCCCTCCAGTGGGGTAGGGATGAGGGGCAGTCTTTTTTTTTCTTAAAAAAGATGACTGGTAAGGGATCTTAACCCTTGACTTGATGTTGTCAGCACTGTGTTCTCCCAAGTGAGCCATGGGTCGGCCCTATGAGGGGCAGTCATAATTCCTCTCTGCTTCTGTTTGATTCCCCCTGTTTCCCCACGTTCAACACACTGTCAGAGAAAGAACACTGCCTTCCTGTGTGTAGCCGGAAATGACCAGAAGCACCCTGGGGCAAAAGGATTGGAGCCACCAGCTGGTTCCACAATAAGTTGGTGCATTGGGGCCAGAGGGTTCCACCATGACATCCATGGGGCTGAAGGTGGGACAGGGAAGGGGTAGGCCCAAGGGCTGTCCCAACCTGACACATTTTCTGCTGTGTTATTCTCAAAGAGCACGTGAACTCCAAGAGGGGAGTGGTGGTGTGCACACACATGCTTATTACTTGTCAGCCAGAGGCTGCAGGCCCCAGCAAGGGGAGGAAATCCACCTCACTCCCCATCAACCAAGGGCCACTGTTGTTCCCTCTCATGCTCACAATGACCCACTTTTACAGTGAGAGAACAGGCTCAGACAGGCTCTGCTGCTGGCCTGGGGAGAGAGTCCAGACCAGCTCACCCAGCTGAACGTTATCTGCAACCCTTGCAGGCAGCCACCACCTCTCCTCCTTTTGGGCCAGTGATCCTGAAGCCCAGTGTTGATCACAGCTGAGAGCATCGGCTCTCACGATTGTTTTTTAAATTGTTGTGATATATAAAATTTACCATCATAACCATTTTTAAGTGTACAGTTCAGTAGTGTTAGGTATATTCACGTTGTTGTGCAGCAGATCTCCAGAACTCTTTTTACCATGCAAAACTGAAACTCTGTAGGCATTAAACACTCCCCATTCTCACTCTTCCCAGTTCCTGGCAATCACCACACTACGTTCTGTTTCTAGGCATCTCATATCAGTGGAATCATGCAGTATTTGCCTTTTTATAACTGCCTTATTTCACTTGGCATAATGTCCTCCATGTTCATCCATGTTAGAGCATGTGTCAGAAATTCCTTCCTTTTTAAGACTGAGTAATAGTCCATTGTTCCATCGTATGGATATACCACATTCTGTTTATCCATCCATCTGTCAATGGACACTTGGGTTGCTTCTACATTTTAGCTATTGAGAATAATGCTGCTGTGAACATGAATGTACAGGTATCTCCTCAGTTTTTCAAACCACTAGATTCCTGGTGAGCCCACAGCCCAGAATGGAGTCTGAGGACAATGAGCAACAAGAGAACTGCTTCTACAGGAGAGGCAGCCCAGCCCCTTGGGGCTGGTGGGTGCCAAGTTGGGCAGTTTGCAGACTGATCATGGACTGAGTGGTGTGGACAACTATGTTTCACACACACTGGAAGAGCAATGACAGTTTAGCAAGAGAATAGAAACTTTTTTTTTCCTTTTTGTCTTTTTTCGTGACCAGTAACGGGATCGCAACCCTCGGTGTCGCGCCCGCACCGCGCTCAACTAGTGAGCAGACCGGTCTCTATATGGGATCCGAACCCTCGGTGGGAGCGCTGCTGCGCTCCCAAGCGCCGCACTCTACCGAGTGCGCCACCGGGCCAGCCCCGAGAATAGAAACTTTAATTCACACACTTTCATAATTAAGGACAAGGACTCTCATTCCCTAAGAACCACAAACTCAATCCAGCAAGGATCATGCTACCTATGTTCCATCACTATTTACTTAATTTTACAACCTTCCCTGACCATTGCCCAAAATCATCTTTTTTCCAACAGCTACAGAGTAGTCTGTCAGAGCTCTGAAGTGACATCCCCACCCCTCACACCAGCACCCCCCCATAGTAAGTCCTCAATAAGTGTATGCTGAATGAAGGAGCAGTTTTTCTGCCACCCTCTATATGTGGCCCCTGTGCATTCCTCAAGCATTCACACCACACACAGGGCAGCTCGGGCCACTGCATAGAGTAAAATGTGGACCCAGGACAGCAGAGGAACAGGGACTGGGGAAGGTACCCATGGGGAAGAGCGCATTCCCAAGTGGGACGAGAATGTGAACAGCTGGGCCAGAGAGAGGGATGGCATCCCAGGCAGCAACAACAGCAGAAGCAAAGGTCCCTTAGGTGTGAAAATAGTGAGCAATTACAGGTTTGGGGGAGCAGTGGCATAGAAAGGGGGAAAGGGATGAGGGACAGTGTCCACTCGCTAGCTGGTGTGGACCTCCTCTTTGGGGAGGGCTACAGGTCTTGGGAGCTTCTTCACACTGCCACCAGGGGGCAGCCTGGGTGAACCCAAGAGCCGTTCCCCAGGGACTGTGCACCTGGGTAGGGCTACCTGGGCCCACACCTGCCTGCTCAGGCTTCCAGCCCCAGTGTCAGGGCAAGCAGGAAATATCTTTTTGATGCTGTAGGCCTGGAATCCAGGTCCCTCCTAGCCTCGTTCTCTCCCTCCTCTCTCCCCAGAGCACCTTAGGGAGAATGTCACATACCCATACGGGCCGTCCTCCAAAAGGACCATGACCAGGACCAGGCCTGGCCAGTCTGATGTCCAGCCACAGGTAGGCCTCCTTCTTCACCCTTCCCACAGCCACGTTCCTCTAAATCTTAAATCCCAGAGGCCACGGCAACTTTTAGTGAATGAATTAAGAAACATAAGCCTGGGAGAGGTAGGGCCATGGTGTCATGGATCAGTTGGGATTGAGAACCCAGCCACTTAGATGCCAGCCTGCCACTAGGAGGACTCTCAGAGCATTGGCTTTTTCTTCTGCAGCAGAGTCGGGTTTGTTTTGAGCAGATCCTATGTGCAGAGCCTGGGGTCAAGACATAAAGAAAGACCAAGAAATTGGGTCAGGGCACAGGTTGGGCTGGAGCAGGGGAACATCATTCTGGGCCCAGCTTGGCTCCCCCTGAGAGCCCTGAGAAGCTGAAGACTTTGAGCTAGGGCAAGGGAAGGCCACAGAGGTCTAACAAGGTAGGCAGGCTGCTGAAGGATGCGGGCAGGCTGCGAAGGATGGAGATGCCTGGCTGTGGCCTGCACCAGACTCCTCCCTGACTGACTGCATGACCTGGAGGCTCAAAGCCTGTCCAGTCCAGACCTGCCCAGGAGGGGACTGAGGGGGTTAAGAAGCCTGGCTGGCCAGAGGGCAAAGGAGCCTATCAACTGGGCAAAGGGGTGGTATCTGGAGAGTTTAGTTCAAGGGTCACTACACCTGCCCTGGCCCCATCCACCCCTGTCCATGGGCTTCTAGCCCATCCGCCCCCCCTCCACCTCTCCCTGACCTGCCCCCTCTCACCCTCCGCCACAGTGCATTTTCCAAAATGTAAGATTAATTGATCAATTTCTGAGTCATTGATTGTACCAAATCTGGAAAAGATTTCACAAAATATGAAGGACACAATTTTTTTTTTTTTTTTTAAAAAAGATGACCGGTAAGGGGATCTCAACCCTTGGCTTGGGGTTGTCAGCACCACGCCCAGCCCGGGGGCAAACCGGC